CAAAAAAAAAAAAAAAAGAAGTTGACTCACTCTTCACAGAAGCACAAAATGTCCGAGTCTGAAAGGTCTCTCAGGGCCCCAGACCCAGCACGGGTGACACAGACCCCTCCAAGGGGCCTCCCTCGAGTGGGCCAAGCTAAAGTGCTACCCTTCCCCATGATGCCGGAGCGGCCCTTTCTGCGACAAGCCTCCCTCCCCAGCGTGCTCACCGCCAGGACTGAGCTGTCAACAGGGAACCGGGGGGCCAGGTTTCGCCCTCACCGGCTGCCTTCTGGTAGAACAACACCAGGCCGTGCTGTGTTGTTTGACATAACTGACAGGATTTCGTCAGTGCCCCCGATGGATTGGGTCCCCTGTTGTCTCACTGAGCTGTCTCCTGGTTCCCGGATGTGCAGCTGTATTTGCTGAAGAGAAAATGCTGAGGGCACAGCCTGTTGGCCCCTGGCACGTTTGGGGGCATCTGAGGTTGGAGGCCCTCAGCCGTCTCCTGAGGGAGCTGCAGCTCTCCACCTTCCTGGAGAGAGACCTGGGTCCAGTCTTTCCAATATCCTGATAGTCACGTGGAAAACCTGAGCCCCTTCCTCCAGCCAACCTGCCCCGTAATTTCATCTAAAAAGGGAGTGTGGACCGGCTCACTCCTATAAGCCCAGCACTTTGGGAGGCCAAGGTGGGAGGATCTCTTGAGGCCAAGAGTTGGAGACCAGCCTGGACAACATAGCAAGACCTCATCTCTATAAAAATAAAAAATAAAAAAAACTTTTTAGGAATATGCAGGGCCTGGTGGCGCACACCTATAGTCCCAGCTACTTGAGAGGCTGAGGAGGAAGGATCACCTGAGCCTAAGAGGTTGAGGCTGCGATGAGCCATGATCATGCCACTGCACTCCAGCCTGGGTGACGGAGGCTCTGACTCAAAAAAATTAAAATAAAATAAAGGGAGTGTGGCTGTCCAGGAGACCCTTCCCCTGGCCATGCCCCTCAGCTACCTGGCTACCCGCCATCTACAAATCCAGCCGGACCTTGGTGTCAAGGAACCAGTGTGGCTGGGGACAGCGGCACATCAAGGGTGGGCTGGTGGGCTGTGGTCCTCAACCCCACAGCTGGAAAGTCTCGATGAAGGACGCTGGTGGGACCCTTGGCCCCAGCACCGAGTGGCCCTCCCTGCTCCCGGAACTGTACTCTGCTGCTTTGGCCAGGACCGGTCCCCACCGGTCCCTGGGGCTGCGCTATTGGCCACACACACCAGCCCCATCACAGCCTTTCTTCCTGCACGATCAGCCTCCGCTCCTCTGGCCTCTGCCTGTCCCCGGCCCCACTCAATGCCCTGTGACCCCACAGCCTCCTAATGGCAAGCTTATTTTAGGTGTTTTTCTTCTAAACAATGCAAAAAATACCCACAGGCCCCAGTTTCCCTGCCTGTGCGCTGGAGAGGTTGATACAAACATGTCTCATGCGGTTCCAGCGCTGACAGTCCAGGGAATTTGATAAATATCTTTAGCTTTCTTAAAATCTCCCAAACAGGCTGGGCTCGGTAGCTCAGCCTGTCATCCCAGCACTTTGGGAGGCCGAGGTGAGTGGATTGCCTGAGCCTGAGGGTTCGAGACCTGCCTGGGCAACTTGGCAAGACCTCATCTCTATAATAAATCAAAATTAGCCAGGCGTGGTAGCGCGCACTTGTAGTTCCAGCTACTCGGAAAGCTGAGGCGGAAGGATTGCCGGAAGCCAGCAGGTCAAGGCTATGGTGGCCATGAGTGTGCTGCTGCACTCCAGCCTGGGCGACAGAGTGAGACTCCAACTCAAAAAAAAAAAAAAAAAAATCTCCCAAACAGCAGCGTGTTCGGTGTCAGCCACCAGGAGTGCCTCCTCCTCAGAGAGGATCCCTGGGTGTGGGAGGAGTTTCAGAAGCACAGGAAGTTGCTTTATTAAGTGATGGGACGTTTCCAGGGCTTTGCAGGTCCTCGGGAAAGGGCCATCAGCAACTTGCCAACCACAGTCCGGGTTTCGTGTTCTGTGATGGGCTCAGGGCCCAGAAAGCGCACACTTGTCCCACTCTGTAGGCGGGCAACTGAGGCTCGGAGCAGCTGATGAGAGCAGGAGCCTGGGTCTGCCCCCACCTGTACATAGTCAGACAGGAAACTGAGGCTTGGCTGAGCAGTCCCTACACCACCCTCCCCTGTAGGAGGTTTGGGTGGCTCAGGAGGCAGAGTCCAGCCCCTGAGCCCAGCCTTAGCGCCTGTGGCGTCCTCACACGGGCCCCCAGGTGTTTCCGTGCTGCCTGCACACGCAGGTGTGTGGCTGCAAATGTGTGTACACATGTGTGGTACATCTGGAAGGGTGTGGGCACCCCCTAGTGTCCAGCACAGAACAGGCACATGGTGGGACCCAGGGCTGAGCTCTGGAGCAGGGGGGGTGGGAGGCGGCCACACGACCTTCGGGCATGGACACCCCTGTCCTCAGAGCCGCACTGCGTCTGTGCCAGCCGCTGCCCATCCCGGCAGATACGGTTTTTCTCCGTCTGTGGCTCTCTCGATGTTTTCTCAGATACACCAAGACCTTGGCCAAGTTGTTCCAAACATAACGGTTTCGACCCAGGTTCAGCTTTGCTGGCTGCGCTGTGCCGGGCTGGGAAGGTCCGTGGCAGCCTTGGCTCCACTCCTTCCCCACTGCAGGTTCCACGACTCGCCCTGAGTATGCGCAGCCCATAGAACTGCGAGAGCTGCCCCTACCGCCCGTGGGGCAGGGGCACGCGTGGCCCGGAAGCTGACGGCCCCTCTTTGCCCTCTTGTAGCTCGAGCCCAGAAAGCTCTCCTCTAAGGCCAGGCGCGACAAGGAGAAACAGAGCTGTAAGAGCTGCAGCGAGACCTTCAACTCTATCACCAAGAGGAGGCACCACTGCAAGCTGTGTGGGGCGGTGAGTCCTGGGAAAGGGGCGTGGCTCAGGTGGGGCCGGAGGCCTCCCAGTCCCACGGAGCGCCGGGTCATCACGGGCCGCAGCACGCCCCCCGTGCGGGGGGCTTCCAGAGCTGGGTCACGAATGCAGACGCCTGTGAGCATGACGTCTTCCCGTCTGAAGCAGAAGTGAGATTCTTTTCTCTGGTCACAGTGGTATTAGATTAACACTCCTGTGGCTGAAAGGATGCTGGATTTGTAACCACAGAGTCCTAGCGGGTGTCCTTGGGAGCGAGGGGATGACGTGTCCTCATGACATGCAAGGTGCATGTAGGAGACGGGAAGGCGAAGGGTGTGGCACAGTGGGAGCTCCTCCCACTGGCCTTTGCTCAGTGCTCCAGGGATGCTCGCAGCTCTGGTGGGCTCTCCTGCCAGGGCCCCAGGTGCACGCCGTCTCCACACCTCCTCACTCAGCCCCAAAGCCCTTTCTCTTGAGAATGTTGCTTAATATTGAGCATAAAAGTAGCCCCGAGGAAGGAATGGAGAAATCATCATTTGGGGGTTAAGACATTAAAACTGAATCTATGCTAGCAGGTAGATCTCAGCACAGAGCTGCCTTGGATGCACTTTCCCACAGGGCACTAGCAGCCTGCCCCGAATTAGTATTCTTTGTCGCACTTTGCCATGTGGCAGGGGGCGGGGAGAGGGCGGAATGAATGGATGAGTCCTGGGATGGAGGGATGGAGGGATGACGGACGGGCGAACGGAGGGACGAATGCGCGGACGGATAGGTGGACGCGTGTGTGGGTGGGGGGCGGACGAAGGAGGGCTGGATGGGTGACGAGAGGGTGAGCGGATGGTGGCCGGGTAGGGGAATGGGTGAGTGGCGGAGGAATGCATGGGTGGACGGGGGGCAGATAGGTGGGTGGACAGAGAGGTAAACGGAGAGGTGGACGGGTGGGCGAGCAGGTAGATGAACAGACGGTCGGGGGCTGGGGTGGAGGGCTGAATGGACGGGCAGGCGGATGGATGGATGTGTTGGTCGCTAGGTTACGGCATGTGGAAGCAGAGATGGAAGTGACGTGAGAGGTGTGGTTAGATCGGCGGGTAGAGGGTTGATAGATGCACGGATGGATGCGTGGAGGAGGGACGGACGGGGGAGAGTTGGCCAGCTGGCCTCGCAGGTGCGGACGCATGGCCGATGAGTGCTGGACTCACAGACGAGTGGGTGAACGGGTGAATGGATGGATCAGCGGCCGGAGGATGGATGGATGGCTGGACGATGGGTAGATAGGTGGGCGGGCAGTCAGACAGATGGCGTTGGGAAATGCGGATGGGTGGGTGGTGAAGCATGAATGGGTGGCAGACTGACAGGTAAATGGCTGGATGGGTAAGTGGATGGAGGATGGGTGGATGGACGGTAGACGTCGAGGGTGCATGGGCCAGCAGCTGAGCAGGATGACCTGTGCCTCCTAAAGAGCTCTGTCTGGGGCTCCGTTTGCACTCTCCAGGATTGAAGAATTTAACCCAAGCCTGGTTTCCACACCGGACTTGAATGAAATCCGCTGTGTGGATTGAGAGTCATCCTCAGAATACACGCCCACGCCCCTACTCAGCTCTGGGCTCTGGGCTTTGTGACTATTGGGGTTCTGCCAGGGACGAGGTGGGGCAGGGTCCAGGGCAGGAAGAGCTCTGGAATAGTCACCGAGGAGCCCCCCTTGGGTTGATTCCCACACTCCACTCACCCACCCATCTGAAGAGCATTCTGTAGTACAGATAGACCATGATTTCTTCACCCATCTGCCAACGGACGTGGGTTTTCCTGGCTGTTGTGAGCAACACTGCCATGCACATGCAGATGCAAATATCTTTGCAAAACTCTGATTTCAGTTCTCTTGGGCTGTATACCCAGAAGTGGAATTGCTGGGTCATCTGGCAATGATGTATTTAATTCTTTGAGGAATACCCATACTGTTTCCTACAGTCGCTGCACCATTTTGCAACAGTGCAAGGAGTCCGATTTTTCCACCTCAGTGCCAACACTAGTTATTTTTTGTTTCAAGTTCTTCTGATGTTGTTTGGGGTTTTTAAAAATAATAGCCATGCTGAGGGTGTGAGATGGTTTCTTGTCATGGTTTTGATTTGCAGTTCCCCGGCGGCCAGTGACGGGAGTCATCACTGTGCTTGGTGACTCCTCCCACTTTTCTTCCTGTGCACGCAGACTCCTGGACTCCGGGCCCTCCAGATGAGAGGGCAGGTCCTGGACGCCAGAGGGCCAGCCCTCATTGTCTGCCCTTGGACAGGGCTCCGGCCCCACCTCAAGAAGCCACGAGCCCTCTCCACGCTGTTCAGCCTTCCCGTCCATCAGCCTCCTCTCGCCTCGCCTTCTGACTTCTTCCTGGACAGTTCTCTGTCCCTGGGAGGTGGGATCATGGGTGCCCTCTCTTGCAGGTCATCTGTGGGAAGTGCTCCGAGTTCAAGGCCGAGAACAGCAGACAGAGCCGTGTTTGCAGGGAGTGTTTCCTGACACAGCCCGCGGCCCCAGAGAGCCCCAGCTCCGAGACTCCGGCCGAGCCCAAGCAGAACACAGAGGTGGGTGCTCCTGGGTCCTGCTCCCCTCGGCGCATGGCAGAGCCTCCCGACGTGTGCCCCTGTCTCCCGCTACTCTGGCTGCCTCTGTTCCCAGAGCTTCCCTGGGACCAGGACAGATGGAAGGTGTCTCAGTGGGGTCAGGGCCCTGGGACCACGGAAAGCCGCTGGGAACAGCTGGGAGCGGCCACATCAGAGGGCAGAATATCATGTGTAAGCGCACCGGGCCTCTCAGGACCAGCCAGGGTCAAGGCTTGGCCCATTTGCACCCAGAGTGTGAGGGGAACAAGGGCAGCTTCACTCCTGTCCCTCCGGTTGGAGGGCACAGCTAGAGATGCCCCGAGCCTAGGAGGCCCCTGCCTCATCAGCCGTCAGAGTGGAGCAGGGCCCCAGGGGAAGGTGGGGCCATCACCCCTTCCTCCTCTTCCTCCCCCTCCTCCCCCTCGCCTCCTCCCTCTTTTCCTGAGGGTGGCTGCTCCCTTCTCAGCCTTCCTTCCTCGAGAGCATGGTCCCGGTTTTGTGAGGTGGCCAGAAAGCTAGAAAAGAGAACACATGGGTTTCCGGAAAAGCACGCCTTCCTTTCTCGCCACTGGGCACAGCCAGATTCTTGGCATCAGCTGAGTGGTAGGAAGTTTTTCAGGCTGGCTTCCCTCCGAAAACTCAGAGGGGTGGCCCCGAGGGTCAGTGTGTTTTCAAGGTCCCAGCTGTTGTGACTCAGCTGTGGCGGGGCCCGGACCTGGGTCTTTGGTGGAGGACGTCGGGACCTAAGGACATCAGGACCAAGTGTGGCATGATCTCAGTGGTGCAGAGAAGACCCGTGCACTGCCCACTTGGCTCCTGCATTCCTGCAACGTAAACCCAAGGGGCTTTCTAGAGTCCCAGGTCTGTGGGGCGTGAGCCGCAAGGGCTGTGCAAGGTGGGCTCCAGCCTCCCTTGGCCCAGGCTGAGGGGACCCAGCTCCAGCAGGCGATGTCAGAGCCACGTCGGAACAGCTCAGAATTGCCACTGTAATGGCACAAAATGCCGTCTCAGGGAGGGAGGGCCTGTGTGTGTGTGGTCTGTGTGTGTGTGAGTATGCACATGGATGTGTGTGCATCTGCACCTGTGTGGTGTGTGCAGGTGGTGTGTATGTGTGTGCCCACGTATGTGGTCTGTGTATGTGATGTGTGTGGTAGGTATGTGCATACATGTGTGTGGTGTGTGTGTCTGTGGTATATATTGCATGCACTTGTGTATGTGGCATGTGTATATGCATGCGCATGTGTGCGGTATGTGTGTACACACGTGTGGTGTATGTGGCATGCGTGTGCGCCTGTGCACACACATGGTATCTGTACATGCGTGTGTGTGGTGTGCATACACATGTATGGTGTGTGTAGAACTGAAACACTCGTGGTCTCTTGGTCCGTGATCCTCCGGGTTGGTTTTCCAGTTATTTGATGCCGTCCTGACCAGCATGTGGACGCTTCTCCTCAGAGGGTCCTCCTGCAACCCTGACGCTATGCACACCCAGGTTCTGCTGGCTTCCAGCGGCCCTGGGAGTCGGGTGAGGCCAGTCCTGGTCCATCCAGGCTCAGCTGCGTCCCCATGGCCAGCTCCTTCCAAGCAGTAGCCCTGGCCCTGCCCCAGCCTCGTCAGGAGGGAGTGACTGCCACAGGCAAGACCACTCCTAACCTGCGCCTCTGTGTCCCCCCAGAAGCCACGTACCTCAGACCCCCAGGCCAGCCTGCTCTGTGGCCCCCTGCGGCTGTTGGACAGCAGTGAGAGCTGGAGTGAAGTGTGGGCTGCCGTCCCCGCATCAGACCCCCAGGTGCTGCACCTGCAGGGAGGCAGTCAGGTGCGTGTTCCCGCCCGCAGGCCACGTGCCGGGGTTCCGCTTGGCTCCCAGAGCCTTGGATGTAGCGTGCCCACAGCAGGCCTGTGCCACCCCCGGGACCCACCCATTCAAGCAGGCTATCCAGGGCCTCCGCTTTCCCAGCCTCCCCAAATCCCCCTCTGCTCCCCACCAGGAGATGGGACCTCCTGAGGCCAGGACCCAGAGCCAGCTGAGACTCCAGGAGGGGCAGGAGGCACAAAGGTCCAGCCCCTGAATGCATTCATTCATTCACCCTTTCATTCATTCACACACGCTGGGCGGGCCAGGAGCTACAGCACCTTTCAGGCAAGGCTCAGGAACCCACACAGCCCCCGCCTGGCCACCTGATCCCTGGCTCCTTTGAGCCTCGCTGCTGCCGGTATCACAGGAGCTCGTCCCGCCTCACTTCCCGGGGACCAGGCAGTCCAAGGGAGGCCGTGGGGCCTGGGCTTCCAGGAGGTGGGCCGGGTGTCCCCCACCCCCATCCTCCCTCAAGGAAAGCCAATGGGCTGCCTGTCCTCCGTTGAGTGAGGGTGCACAGGCCCAGCCACCAGGCCGGGAGTCTCAGCACCTGCCGAACACCGTGTGGGGCTGGGTTGGCTGCCGGGAGAGCCCCACGCCTCTGCCTGAGCCCGGGGCTGGGAGCCAAGGCCCCCGCTGACCCTCCACTTCTCCGCAGCTGGACAGCCGGCCACCTCAAGCCATCCCTCTCCCTGGCTGCATGGTGAGCCTGCCCGGCCCTGAGGACAGGCTGGATCCAGGGCATGGGTGGAAGCTGCAGCAGGCCCAGCGGTCCTGGCACCTGAGCGCCCCGTCCGCAGAGCTGCGGCGGCAGTGGATGGAGGTCCTGAGCACCGCCGCTCGGGCGGACGC